AGATTTTATGAGTATGATAAATAATATGCGAGTTGATAACGTCTCATCAGTGAGTTTAGAACTATATTTCAAGTATCAGACAATATATTGAGGGTATTAATGAAATAAATGATAACATTAAGTGTGATTACTTAGTAATCATCCTGGCCAGTAATGACATTGACTCTTGTAGAATCATGGACGAGTGAAAAAGTTGGGCCAAGGCTACATTAATGATAACCATGAGGAGAATCGAATCTTCAGATGGTACGTGACAGCCAACACAGCTTTTGGATAACCTGAACATCAAACTTTAATGTAGATTATGTTGTTTCCGCAGGTACATTTTCACTGACGATCTCACCATTACCACCAACCGATGGAGAACTCTTGAAATTGACCTGTAGTTTCCTTGATGGGACTGCAGTAAACATTGGGTGGCTGCAGAACAACAAACCTAAGGTCGTTACTCAAGAGTCCACTAATTGTACTAAACAGGCACTCGCCGAAGGGAATGACATCACCAAACGTATCAATGTGAGTTGCAGCACCACGGCCCATAATATGACGTTTATATTCAACTCCACCACAGACCAAGGATTAGCGTGGCAGTGCGGGAAATGTGTAAACGATAGCTATATATACCCAAGAAGCAACATTTATACAATAGGTGGGTATGACATAATCACTGACTTCTACAAAATATTTTTAGCAATAAAGTAAATTGTCACAAATGGAATCATCAATCAGCATAAATTGTATAAAAAAGAAATGATGTGATAAGACCCACACGACATGACAGTGAAAACTAATCATTATTTTGCATCAGGATTAACACATTACAAATCGTTGTCTGAATACATTTAATTTATTTGGAACGTTGGTCTATTTCGGCTTCACTGTTTATGCAAGGCAATACATATAATTGTGTGAGCTACTGAAATAAATGGAATGTTTTCCAATCATACGATATACACATATATAAGCTCTTGTCCTTCGGGTGCTCTCATGTCATCACAGTCATCATCAACAACGACCCGATATATGGATCAGGAGACAGTGACGACAAAGAATGGTAGTTCTCTTTTAATTATTCATATCGTACTGGGAACATGTACAACGTAACATCAACAGTTTTCACGGAGAGCTGGATTTAACGAATGAATAAAAATTAACACACACACCACAAATATGCACCAACTATTATTCGATATATACGATAATATACGATCAGTATTAGAAACTTAAAAAAACCACAGTGGCCTTAAGATATTTGTGATCTATAAAAATCATTTTATGGGCTTCACCTGCAGGAGCATTGTGACACCGTGTCTGTTCATAATCTATCATATAGGTGCACAGTTTGTCTACCGACCATGTTATTACAGATGTATACTGTTTCCTATTGGGAATCAATGCAGTGTGCTTGAAGGGTTTCTGCACAACTTGTACTGTTGTGTATAGGGATGTTGTTAAGTCAATATATCGCCCCAAAATGTGATACAGATCCAATTGTTAGACGAAGAGTCATCGGATAAGGAGACAGTGACGACAAATGGTAGTTCTCTTTTAAATATCCATATCGTACTGGGAATATGTACAAGGTAACATCAACCATTTTGTTGTATGTGAAAGAAAACGTGAATTACGAAAGGTCGCGTATGACTTACGGCAAAAGTAATTGGGGTCAGCGCAGTATATATGATTATGTGAGCTACCGAAATGACTGATATGTTTTCCAGTAAAACGATATACACAGAGATAAGCTCTTGTCTTTCAGGTACGAATGGATATGACCATACTGCAAATACAGACATGTCAACACAGTCATTATCAACAACCCGAAATATGGAGATGACATCGGATCAGGAGACAGTGACGACAAAGGATGGTAGTTCTCTTTTAAATATCCATATCGTGCTGAGAATATGTACAAGGTAACATCAACAGTTTACATGGGGATCCACATACACACCACGAATATGCACGAAATAGTTTATGTTATATACGATAATAAACGATCAGTATTAGAAACTTAAGAAAACACAACACGGTCGTTCCAGTGGCCTTTGAAATTTGTGATATATAAAAATAATTTTATAGGCATAACCTGCCTGGGCATTGTGACACCGTGTCGATTCATAATCTAGCATGTAGGTACACAGTTTGTCTACCGACCATGTTATTACAGATGTATACTGTTTCCTATTGGGAATCAATGCAGTGTGCTTGAAGGGTTTCTGCACAACTTGTACTGTTGTGTATAGGGATGTTGTTAAGTCAATATATCGCCCCAAAATGTGATACAGGTCCAATTGTTAGACGAAGAGTCATCGGATAAGGAGACAGTGACGACAATTGGTAGTTCTCTTTTAAATATCCATATCGTACTGGGAATATGTACAAGGTAACATCAACCATTTTGTTGTATGTGAAAGAAAACGTGAATTACGAAAGGTCGCGTATGACTTATGGCAAAAGTAATTGGGGGCAGCGCAGTATATATGATTATGTGAGCTACCGAAATGACTGATATGTTTTCCAGTAAAACGATATACACAGAGATAAGCTCTTGTCTTTCAGGTACGGATGGATATGACCATACTGCAAATCCAGACATGTCAACACAGTCATTATCAACAACAACCCGAAATATGGAGATGACATCGGATCAGGCGAAAGTGACGACAAAGAATGGTAGTTCTCTTTTAAATATCCATATCGTACTGAGAATATGTACAAGTTAACATCAACAGTGTACATGGGGATCCACATACACACCACGAATATGCACGAAATAGTATAAGTTATATACGATAATAAACGATCAGTATTAGAAACTTAAGAAAACACAACACTGTCGTTCCAGTGGCCTTTGAAATTTGTGATATATAAAAATAATTTTATAGGCATAACCTGCGTGGGCATTGTCACACCGTGTCGGTTCCTTATCTAGCATGTAGGTGCATAGTTTGTCTACCGACCATGTTATTACAGATGTAAACTGTTTCCTATTGGGAATCCATGCAGTGTGCTTTAACGGTGTCTGAGGAACTTCAACTGTTTTGTATAGGGATTTTGTCAATATGTCGCCAAACTAAGCGATACAGGTCCAAATGTCAGACGGAGAGTCAAAGAGGCAAAGATTTATATGTGAAACAAAACATGAATTACGACAGGTCGCGTAAATGGGGGCAGAGCCTTTGAACAATGAAATTTGCATTCTAATCTCGTTTTGTGACGTCATAGTACTGTATAACGTCATCATTGAAATGTCGCTGCCTGTCACATTTGGGCGAAATACTGTTTGCTTAAAAATACACTGACATATGGAAATTATACTAGCTTAAAGATAGACGTTTCATATATTTGTTGAAAAAATATTTAAACAACTTAAATACATATATTTACACTTTTATGCAACAATGTGAGCAAAAGAGGGTGAGTGTATTTGGCGTGGTAGGTAATAGAATGCTTCCTTCTTTCATCATTCTGTCTTTAAATTGGAAAGTTAGATTTTAATAATATACATTCAATGTATTATAACACATAAAATACTCTGAATAGAGACCAGCGGACAGTCATGACGCATTTGTTCATTTATTCATGCAATAAGTAGTGTAATATTTGCTGTCAGCTGTTTATCATACACATTGGAGAACACATACAAGGGTCAGACAATAAACAAGACATGTTTATCTGAATATTACTGGCGCCATTATATTATATGTTTGTTCTTAGAAGTCATTAAAACAATCAGTGTTTGTTGTGATACGCTTGGACCAGACAATCAAGCAAACGATTCTCTGAGCAACGATCTATGTCGTCGGTGTACACGTATATGCTAAAATCGCCGATCCTGCACAGCCGATCCATGTGGTCGCCTCTTACGACCAGCAAAGCTTAAATTATCTTGGGACCTATTCTTACCTGGAATCCCCAACCAGTGTGTGTCATCGTAACGTCTGACAAACCAGATTCCGAATTCATCCGATTTATTTGATAAGGCCGGAACATTATCTGTGCAGGGTTGTGCGTCATAGCTGTGTCTGTGATCCTAGATTGTACCCTCTTTATTCTTTGTATTGTAGCACCGTACGCGTACACATGGATTGCAAACATCTACAACCTGAGACTTTCCGCATAACACCTTAAAACCAACACATTCTCTCACTTCTCCATACACTGCACACATGTAATGCTCGCAACTTGACAAACTGTTCTGTATATATCCGCGACTAATTAACTATGAAACTATTTCTCAGTGAGTCTTTTACTTAACTGTCTCTCACTTCTCCACACATCGCACACATAATATATAACCTCTCCCCCTTGACAAGCTGTTCTGTATATATCCTGGACTAACCATGATATTATGTTGCAGCATTTACAGGTGAAAAAGATCCAAATCTTCCCTACATCGTGGTTGGGGCAGTAGGTGGAGCTGTTCTGCTTACCGTCGTTGTCGTGGGCGTCGTATGTATCAGACAGAGAAGAAAAGCTGCCCGTGTGTATTTGTGTTGCGATTTAAGATAATTCTAGATGAAACTTCGACAATGAATTATGTACAATAAATTGAACAAGTTTTAAAAGACAGTTTGACCATTGCAATAGTCGTCAACTTCCGCATTAGTATGTATCCAATGATTGTCAGAGTTGATTCTGGTTAGGATGAAATGTTTGATAGCGGCAGAGGATATTAAGACTTTCTAAATGATGAAAACCTTTTCTTCTAGATCAACAAAATGATATGAAAGAAGAAAGAAATGATGAAGCGTAAGTGTAACTGTTATCGAAGACAGAACGCACAGAAACATATTTGCACACACACATACACACACACAGACGCACGCACGCACGCACGCACGCACGCACGCACGCACACTCACGCAAAACAAACACACACATTCTTTTGGAAGCACACACACACACAAAGCAAATTTGTACTTTTTGACGTTTGTTGAAAATTATTTCAGTCTTTGGTCTTCCATATGAGTTATTGCTGTTCTCCTTCCAGCTTACCAGTTGATCAAAACACGACAGGCAACAACACAGGTATGCTTTTCAAGTAATTTATTATTATTCGAATAACACGGTACTAGAATTAAAACTGATTTTGGAAGCATACTGTAGCTGTACTGTATGTTGTAACTGTTGAACAGGACCTTATTCTAACCCATGGTTCGTTGGCTATTGACGCACTTGTGCCACACACGCAATCCTCCATGGTTATTAAACAGATGGTACATACTGAGGGTTATAACGGTCCCATGACATCTCGCAAATCAACCTGAGCGACAGTTACCCTTGTCACATCCTATTTACGTGCCGTATTTCCGTGTTCCCTCATTGTGTATGTTTCAGTGGAAAATGACTTGTATGAAGGGTCACGCGATGTCCAACCAATGATCGCAGCTGAGAATCAGGAGGATGACTTTATGTTGTCAGGTACCTGCATGCTAGCATGTATCTCTAAACGTTACAGAATCAGAAGAAAGTGCGATTTGAAATCAGTCCACAATGATCCACTCTCCTACATATGTGCTTAATCATTGCACGTTCATAAATGGATATGTTTTCTTGGCTAATGATATTTGCAGTATTCCTTTAAACATTATACTGTTTCACCAGATGCATACGCGAGTGCTGACCTGCCAGTGACGAACACGTGCACACCACGGGAGGAGGTTCCATCTGATGACGTCAACTTAGAGAACCTGTAAGTATAACTGTTATTCGAAACAGAACGCACAGAAACATATTTGCACACACACACACACACACACACACACACACACACACACACACACACACACACACACACACACACACACACACACACACACACACACACACACACACACGCAAAACAAACACACACCTTCTTATGCAAGAACACACACACACAGCAAATTTGTACTTTTTGACGTTTGTTGAAAGTTATTTAAGTCTTTGGTCTTCCATATAAGTTATTGCTGTTCTCGTTCCAGCTCACCAGTTTATCAAAACACGACAGGCAATATCACAGGTATGCTTTTCAATTGATCATAATTCGAATAACACGGTATTAGAAATAAAACTGATATTGGAAGTATACTGCAGCTGTACTGTAGCTGACAGTTACCCTTGTCACATCCTATTTACGTGCCGTATTTCCGTGTTCTCTCATTGTGTATGTTTCAGTGGGAAATGACTTGTATGAAGGGTCACGCGTTGTCCAACCAATGAACGCAGCTGAGAATCAGGAGGATGACTTTATGTTGTCAGGTACCTGCATGCTAGCATGTATCTCTAAACGTTACAGGAATCAGAAGATAGTGCGATTTGAAATCAGTCTACAATGATCCCTCTGCTGTATATGTGCTTAATCATTAAACTTTCATAAATGGATATGTTTTCTTGGCTAATGATATTTGCAGTATTCCTTTAAACATCATACTGTTTCACCAGATGCATACGCGAGTGTGGACATGCCACTGACGAACACGTGCACACCACGGGAGGAGGTTCCATCTGATGACGTCAACTTAGAGAACCTGTAAGTGTAACTGTTATTCCAGACAGAACGCACAGAAACATATTTACCCACACACACACACACACACACACACGCAAACACACACACGCAAAACAAACACACACCTTCTTATGCAAGCACACGCACACAAAGCAAATTTGTACTTTTTGACGTTTGTTGAAAGTTAATTCAGTCTTTGGTCTTCCATATAAGTTATTGCTGTTCTCGTTCCAGATCACCAGTTTATCAAAACACGACAGGCCAGCTAGGCAACAACACAGGTATGCTTTTCAATTATTTTATTATTATTCGAATAACACGGTATTAGAATAAGATCTGATTTTAAAAGCATACTGTAGCTGTACTGTATGTTGTAACTGTTTAACAGGCCCTTATTCTAACTCATGGTTCGTTGGCTATTGACGCACTTGTGCCACACACGCAATCATCCATGGTTATTAAACAGCTGATACATACTGAGGGGTATAACGGTCCCATGACATCTCGCAAATCAACCTGAGCGACAGTTACCCTTGTCACATCCTATTTACGTGCCGTATTTCCGTGTTCCCTCATTGTGTATGTTTCAGTGGAAAATGACTTGTATGAAGGGTCATGCGATGTCCAACCAATGAACGCAGCTCAGAATCAGGGGGATGACTTGATGTTGTCAGGTACCTGCATGCTAGCATGTATCTCTAAATGTTACAAGAATCAGAAGATAGTTGCGATTTGAAATCAGTCTACAATGATCCCTCTGCTATATATGTGCTCAATCATTGCACGTACATAAATGTATATGTTTTCTTGGCTAATGATATTTGGAGTATTTCTTTAAACATCATACTGTTTCACCAGATGCATACGCGAGTGCTGACATGCCAGTGACGAACACGTGCACACCACGGGAGGAGGTTCCATCTGATGACGTCAACTTAGAGAACCTGTAAGTGTAACTGTTATTCCAGACAGAACGCACAGAAACATATTTACACCCACACCCCCACACACCCCCCACCCCACACACACACACACACACTCACGCAAACACACACGCAAAACAAACACACACATTCTTATGCAAGCACACACACACACAGCAAATTTGTACTTTTTGACGTTTGTTGAAAGTTAATTCAGTCTTTGGTCTTCCATATAAGTTATTGCTGTTCTCGTTCTAGCTCACCAGTTGATCAAAACACGACAGGCAACAACACAGGTATGCTTTTCAAGTAATTTATTATTATTCGAATAACACGGTATTAGAATAAGATCTGATTTCGGAAGCATACTGTAGCTGTACTGTATGTTGTAACTGTTTAACAGGCCCTTATTCTAACTCATGGTTCGTTGGCTATTGACGCACTTGTGCCACACACGCAATCCTCCATGGTTATTAAACAGCTGATACATACTGAGGGGTATAACGGTCCCATGACATCTCGCAAATCAACCTGGACGACAGTTACCCTTGTCACATCCTATTTACGTGCCGTATTTCCGTGTTCTCTCATTGTGTATGTTTCAGTGGAAAATGACTTGTATGAAGGGTCACACCAATGAACGCAGTTGAGAATCAGGAGGATGACTTTATGTTGTCAGGTAACTGCATGCTAGGATGTATCTCTAAAATTTACAAGAATCAGATGATTACACGTACATAAATGGACATGTTTTCTTGGCTAATGATATTTGTAGTATTCATTTAAACAATATACTGTTTCACCAGATGCAAACATACAGAGGTTCAACGTGGTGAGGCACATCAGTAATGCATGCTCTTGTAGTTCACCTCATATTTTTAATGTCGAAGTCTAGATCTGATTCTTTCTATCTATTTTACTCCTTTTTTTCTATGTTAAAGAAAATGTAGTCATAAATGAAGCTACGTGTAGTGAGATTCTGCTTAAAATTGATCTTCAGCACCCCATGCTTGTCGAAAGAGGCGGCTAACGGTTTCGGGTGATCAGATTCGTTGACCCATGTCATGGTATATCACTTGCGTGGGTCGATGCTCATGAGGTCAAGCGCTGGATTGACCGCTCTAGACTCGGCAATTTGCAGACCGCCATCATATAGCTGGAATAGTGCGGAGTGCGGCGTTAAACAGCAAATAAACAAAAATGTATGATGCACGTTAAATACCCAATGTGTGAACGTCAGTTTCAGACATATACGCTGAAGTACAGAAACCCTAGGAAAAGAAACAAAAGGACTGAACTGCCTCCCTTCAATTCGTAGGTCCTGCAGGGCTGTCGGCAATCGTCTCCAGCGGGCCAGATCTTCAACCTTGTTGAATCTGTCTTCACTGGTGAGAAGGCGTGCACCCGACGGCAGCACATATCCAATACTTCGTTTCATTGTGTACGCTTCTGCGACAAAATCTATACCCGTCACAGTACTGTTGCTGTCCGCCTCTCACACTCTCTATCAAAGTCAGTCTCACTTGCGCATTTGCCATTTTGGTGATATTATTGTCTCTGTGGCTTTAAGTGCTTAAGAGTTCGCCTTCTTTCTTAGCAAATTTGGCTGACCTGTCCCTCTTTGGGACTCCTGTGTGTGAGTAGGGTACACATGTCTAGTTTGGTATTCACATAATTTCTGTTTTTGTATTAACATGAATTCTATTTTCGTATATTGATATAATTTCATTTTTATCTTTGGCTGCTCCGTTTATATACGTTCGAGTAGCTGTCCATCTCTCAGAAATAGATTTAGTTAGGCCTTCGCTGTTGCATCTTTTGGCTTCAGGAGATCTATGACAGATCGCGGATCTAATTGCAGATGAGCTGTATTATTGTCAATGATAAGACTTACATAGCATGCATTTTGACACTGCTATGACTATGATTGCCACATTATGTTGCACTGTAAATAGTTTATGTCTTATATATAAAACTTTTTTTATTGATAAATTTGATGTTGATATGCTTTTATTGTTTCTCGGAGCAGATATTCATGACGTGAATGACGCAATGAAGTATAATACTTGGGAATACATCATACTGTCTTTTTGTTACATGTACTTTGTATGGAATATAACGAAACACATAAAAATCCTACTGCTCACAAGTTGTACATTGTAAAATGATATTCATGAACACTGTATCACATGCATTTATTGTATATACTCACGTAATATAAAAAAACGTATTCTAAATAATGTATGATTTTCCGTTTGAACTATAGAAAATAAAGAAATGCATTCATTCATTATGGCTATCATTTGTACTCTTTGGCATTTGACCTGATCACGCAGAGCTATCCAAAAAGTATACGTTTCACTGTGACTACTGGCAATGATTACAATCACACTTATCTCCATTGTTGTATTTCTCTACTTTTCAACAACGACAAATAATTTTGTTTCTTACTACAAACGATAACACAAATTGTCAAGACCTATATTGGTAGCACGGCACCGTAATTGGTCCCTCGGCTGAACTAAATCTAAATGGACATGAATTAAAAGGAATCAATGGAGTAACTAGTTTCGCTATTAAACGTGACTATATATCACAGCAAAAAAAATGCAGTTTCCGGTATCCGGATACCTGCCGGATACCACCGGACACTTACCCAAAACGCGTCCGGGTATCCGGTGGCAGATACCTTGCCGGATACCAGATCCGTGGTATCCGGCATGGACACCTCACCTGAAAGTATGCCACCTGGAATCCGGGTATCCGGCACCGGATACCTCACCGGATACCTCAATCTGGGTGTCCAAGGATCCGCACCGGATACCAAGAATCCGGCACCGGATACCATATTCTGAGTTTCCAAAAAACATGTCACAATTTGGGGGTGCATTTTGTTCAATTCAGTGTGAAACACCTAAATATATATTGGAAACTAACCATGAAAATTGAACATTGCTGAAGGTATCCGGCAGGTATCCGGCAGGTATCCGGATGCAATTTTTCGAGATGTCTTATTTCTGGTAAATAATGTTAGCCTGGGCATATCAGATAGCTGTAGTAATATTCTGTGTCATTTTAGTTGTAAATATCCCCTTAAAGTTGAGATCTATGGGCATGTACTTTTGGAGAAGACAATTTTTTTCAATTTCATCTATAATTCTTTTTAGATGTTAAGCTGTTTAATGCACAAACATCAGTTCTAATACATGTATGATGATATCCTTAAATTTCATGTTCAGACTTCCAGATTATTCTGAGTGAAAGTATAAACTCATCGACTGTGTGCTCACTTGGGCCTTTGGTCCTAGTGAGATGATAATATGATTATTTGTAAAGGTACAAGTACTTGTTATGAGCATACCAGCTTCATTTAAGTTTGAAACACAATATGCCTCACTCTGAGGGTGACATGTACCAGATTTCATCACACTACAGAGAGCTGTTCCTCAGTTACTGAACATTTTTACTGAAAGACATTGAAAGCTAATTTGACCTTCAATATCAGTTGCGACTATTTCAAAAACAATTGTAAAGCGCTTCATTCAGTGTAATATTGACAAACATATGACAATGATATACAACTATATGTAT